TGGCAAGATTTGGAAATTAAAAGTCGTCGACAAGCCTTCATTGAAGAGCTTTCATTAGGTTTAAAAACACCAGTGGGTAAAGGACGGAGGTTCATAATAACACATATAGGCAGCGATTCGGGTTTTTTGAAGAACGGCTTTTTACTATTCGAATCCAAGAAAACCAACGATTACCATGAGGAAATGGAAGCAAAAACCTTGAAGCAAATTCTGTCGTTATGGACAATGCGTCATACCACAGTCGACGGTTGGAGCCATCACCAACGACTGCCTGGCGAAAAGCTGAAATAATCAACTGGCTCTCTCAAAAAAATATACCATTCGATGACAGCATGTTGAACGTACAATTATTAAACCTCGCGAGGATACATATACCATACCCGTTTTCAAGAAATATTCAGTCAATAAAATGGCTCGTGCAAACAACATAATTGTACATCGCCTCCCTCCTTATCATTGTGAGCTGAACCCTATCGAGCTTATATAGGCTCAAATAAAAAACCAAGTGGCAAGAGAAAACTTGAGTTTTAAAATGGAGGAGGTGAGGTACTTGTTAGCTACTGCCATACAAAATATCACACCTGAATCTTGGAAAAATTGTATAAGACACACTATAAAAGAAGAAGATAGAATGTGGGACTTAGAATTATCAATGTAAATAATAGTGATCTCGATAGCTCTTCATCAGCCGACAAGTCGTCTTCATACGATGATTAATATTTTGACTTGTTGACCTGTTGAGGTCGAACCATTTTATCCTTACATTATCATTTATCAATTACATTTCAGAGACGTGGATGTGGCTCGTTCATAATGTGGAGTCGTAGTTTCATGAAGCTATTATAAAAGTAGAAGGTGATAAAACAAATGCAACATATGCTGACCAAAAATACTTTATTCTTAAAACCAAGTTAGAACATCGGTTGGACACATTATTTTTGGAGTACAATTTTACATGTGTAACTCCTAGAAAATTGGAGTACAAATCTACATGAATTTAAACTATTCAAATGGATAGATCTAGGAAGTGAAATAGCATGGACAGATGCTTGTTATTCTCTCAAAGTTTTTAAATTGTATATCAAGGCAACTATTTTAAATGAAGATCAACTCTTTGGCGAACTGGGAATTTTGAAAGACGTGGCTACAAGTGAAAAAATTGCTGAGTGGAACAGAGAAGAAAAAATAGTGAAGATCGATGGTTTGAAGTTTTTAAGTGTGTAAATCAATTCAAATTAGCGATGCAGGTGTATGTAAATTTTGATGAGACTTGTAATGAAATGATTCATTTGCTTCAGTCGAAGCTGGACCTTCTTAAATTAATTTTAAGTTCCGAAAAATATAATGGTACAGAAAACTAGAAGAAGATAAGGCTATTCCAGGTTTCTCATCTAAAAACTCTTAATTACAGTATTTTTACTTTTTCAAAGTTAATATAATATTTAGTTTAATAATTTATATAATTTTTTATTAATAAGCAACATATTGTTTTAATGTTTAGCATAATTTATTCTTTATTTTCAATGCCAAAAAGTTATGATTGCCCAATAAAAAGATTCATTTTGTGTTTTTATCACATTTTTGTATTTTTGTACTTTTTTTTTTTTCAAAAAATATATATGGTCACCGTAAATGTACAGTGTATTTAAAAACCAAAGTAACTAATGATATTAGAAAAATGGTAAATCTGGCAACATTGCAAGCATCAAATTTTAACTCTTCATATTACATTACAAAAAAGGTGTATCCTTGTTTTTGTACAATTCGAAGCAATTAAATATAACAAAGTTAATGGTGTGTTTCGATTATATTAATATCTCGCAAATCAGCTACAATTATGCAAATCTGGGTATTTTCAAAAATCAATCTAATGTATAATCTGCGTGAAACACTCTGTATAGGGGGATGGAACGTAAACATCAAATTTATAAAAGTGTTTATTGTTACACTAAAATTGATCATCAAAACATTTTCATGTATCAAATCTATACTTTTATCAAACTAATTGTGGAAAACTTTGTCATTAATCTATTTGCTTAGCTAAAAGTAGGTATTTGTGAAATCGTAATACAAAAATAAAATTCTCGTTCAAATTTAGAATAATCTTATCACAAGTTCATATGCAGTGATATAAACCATTATTGCTTAAACATTTGGTTAGGTTTATTACATAACTTTGTCCCAAATATTCCACCAATAGTGTTACTACTTCATAAGCTGGAATACAGTTTTACACAGGTACGTTATAAATTTTCGATATGAGCAACTACAAATATCAGTCGAAAAGTTTTTGGTTTGTTTTTAAATAACGCTTAACTACGTAATACCGGTATAAACTAGTCGTACTTTAGGTACCTAATTTGTTAATTGTACATTGTGTATATTTGTGTGTTAAGTAGTTACCTTGTTACTAAGTAAAGTCTGCTTCATTTTCTTTATAAAGAATTATTACTATATCCGAATGACTGCGGTACCTTGGGTGAATACCGATCCGACAAAGAAGAGATTTTTATTCGGAAAATATTCTTCTACTTTTCTTCTTCTTCCTTCTAGTATGTAGGCTTTAAAGCCTGTTTCTTATTCAATATTAGCCTCCTAAATTGTCGTACCATCTTTTTCTTGGTCTGCCAATACTTCTTCGTCCATTTGGTGACTTATCTCGTGCTATTCGTACTTTTCTATCCTCTGCCATTCTACTGATATGTTCGTTCCACTTCTGTTTTCGTTTTGTCACCCATCTATTTATGTCTTCTATATTGCATGTTCTTCTTATGTTTTCATTTCTCTGCCTATCCAATAGACTTCTCCCTGATATTCGTCGGAGTATTTTCATCTCTGTTATTTCTAGCAGTCGTCTCGTTTTAGATGTATCAGGTCTTGTCTCCGTCGTGTATGTTAATATAGGTGTAATTGCTGCTTTATAGATTCTTGTTTTTGTGTCTTGCCTTAGATGTTTGTTCTTCCAGATTGTGTCATTAAGAAAACCTGCCGCTTTACTTGCTTTTAAGCTTTGTTGTCGTACTTCTTCTTCAACAGGTTAGCATCCTACCCATTGTAAAAAGAAACAAGGCTCAAATAATCGATATTAAGCCTCGGAACCAGACGGACCTTCTACTTTTTCTTGAAAGATAATAAAAACTCTGTACCATTAACTCAGATTCTTTAGCATTTAGAGGTCTTTCTTCTACTACGTCCACGTTAGCTTCAATTTCAATATTTTCTTCGATTCCATTGCATTGTTTATTGCTTATATAGGTGCTTGCTCACCCCAAATTCCAATTCTTTTGTGTTTTATACTCGTGAAGTCGTTACTAATAAATAACGCTAGAGGTATTATTTGTGATCAAGATCGGATGCAATGGAATTATTTACGGGAGGCCTATGTTCAGCAGTGGACGCAAAATGGCTAATGATGATGATGATTATTTGTGAACTTCATTTTTAGGTACATACGTGTTTTAACAACATACCTACACTAGAAATAACTGACTGAAGGACTAATTGGCGCAGTCATAAAAAACTTGTTAACTTACAAAGTTACTAAATCTTTCATTATTTTGCATAATATAGTTAGTCTATATTTGATATCTTTATCATAACTTGCTTCATTTCTTATTAAATATCCCAGGTAATTAAATTTTTGTAGTGCCTTAAAGCCACTAATATATTTAGTATTTTGAGAATGGTATTATTCAATAGCCTTGAGTTAGCAGTAAAACGATATTCTTGAACAACACTTTCAGATTATCCCATTATTAGAAATTACTTTTCATCTGCAACTGCAATGAATCTATGTTTCTTCTATTAATAATTTTATTTACTCGATATTATAGAATGTTTCTCATTAAATATGTTTCGTAATAAATATTTAATATATGCGTGAAATAATACATACTTACAACAAACGGTAACAACAAACAATGAAACAGTATTGGGCATATATGTCTGTCTGAAAACCATACCCTCTAAAAGTGGCAACTAACACTGGTCGTTTCGCTGGTCGGAAAAGTCTGTGAAAGCTCTTTGCGCAAAAATTAAAAAAAAAACTGTAGACACATTAGTATTATTTAATAATAACTAAATAATAACTAACATAAATACAAAAGTATTTATGACATTTTTAGGTATATTATGGCGATTTTCCACTAAAGACACAGTTGAGTTTGTATTTTATTTGTGTGTTTCTAGAACTCTAAAAACAAAAACCAAACTGAAACAAACCCCACTCTTGTTTTCATCAAGTGGACTACATTTGGGCGAGTTTTGTAATTGTTTTCGATCCTTTTCCACTGGTTGCTACGAGGAATCGAAAGTAGAGTTTTTTAGAGAAGATTTTTTATTCTTAGTTATCTGGTCGATAGTCAAATCCTTGGAAAAGGGTTTATTTCTGTCATTGATATAAAACTCATTGCATTATTACTAAACCACTTGAGTATAAGATTCTGTCCCGCGTCAGATTTTTTCATTATTTTGTAATTTCTTCTTTCACGTTGATATTGTTAAATTATGTTTTTAATGTTACTTTAATTTTTTATCTAGTTGGTGTCAAACAATTGACAATTTTTTTGATGGAATTCATTTTTTTGTGTACCACAATTTCTATGTTTCCGGAAGGCATCAATTAAGGTACATATTTTTCAGTAGTTCACTGTTTTTTGGAAAATTTCTTCCATCTTTTGACATGATCCATTAATTCACTAAAACCTGTAAGTGATGTAGAGAAATTCTTATGGCCAAATTGGTAACAAATTCGTATTCAGACCCTAGCAGGACCTGAAAAACAAAACTTCAACTGTTATAAAACACGCCAGTCTACAAGAATATTGCGAAAAGTTGCAGTTTTGTTTTATTAGATGCTAGTTTGTGTTTTATTTTTGTTATAGTCGTCATTATAATCTCTGTGAATTTATGTAGTGTAAATTCATGACTATTTTTTATTCTTTTGGTGGAATGTTTCATAAACATAACTCACTCTAATTGTCTGATTAAAGAAGAGTCTCTTTCTTTCAGGTCGGCAACTGTTATATACTTACCCGAACACAAAATGTCTATACATGATGACTCTAACAAGAAATACGAATTTATTCCTATAAGTGACCCTTTGGATGTCGGAACCCGAATTCATTATGACGAATGTACAAATAACGCCTTTTTTGTAGATGTCCCGAACGGTAATGCTTATAGATACGATTTGGCATCTGGCAACGTTACAAAAACTAAAGTTGGTAAGTTTATTATGAAGTTTATTGAACTGAATATTGAATGACATTGATGTATTAATTTATTTTCTCGAGTAATTAGTTGTTTACGTATTGTCGTATGGACAATTTATTCTGATCTGTTTCTTATCTTATCGATTTGTAGTAGAACTAAGCCGTAAACTTATTACAGTACTTTCTTAAGATAACTGTTATTTGATAAATATTCAGGAAGTCTTTCTTTTTCTAATTTTTATTTAAACCTTGAATTGACTACCTCAAAGTAGATATTATTATCGGGGTACGTACAGGGGTCGGCATAAGTCATGCAAGAGAAAAAAAAGAACGTCAAAATGAATTTATTCAAAGAATTATAAAAGGGATTCGAAAAAGGGTTACTGCAAGTGTTCAAATTGATGCCTTGTTCAATTGGTGATCTTGTTCAATGCATTTACTGCAACGTTTTGCAATAGTCCTTCGAAGCACCTCAAGCTGTCCGCGAATATTTTCAAATTCTTCTTCAATTGCAGTTCGGTGGTCGGGAATGGTGTGTGGTTCTCACACACCCTTCCCGACTCGGAGTCCGCGAAGGTTCTCTTGCAAAAACGCGTTCCTTGAGAAGGCCCCACATGAATAAATCACAAGGTGCCAGGTAACATGACCATGCGGGCCACTCAACGATTCCGCGTCTGCCTATCCAGTCTCCAAAATGATTTAACATTAAGGTAGGTACTTCCGCACACATGACGTGTTTTTTCTGAAAAAGTGTCTGTCACCATGATACCGACATGACACAACTGTAACTGTCTAAAGCATGGACGTATAAACAAAGAATATAGACGCTTATAAGCGTCTATATTCTTTGGTATAAACATAGATAGACACAGCAATAAGATACCTTTAACCATCGAGCAAAATTGTCTTTTTGCTCGATGCCTTTAACACACAATGTTTTGAAGCTTCCATAGAATGTGATGCTTCCGCAATGAGCATAAGCGTGCTTGAATTTTTACTCACGGGTAATTATTCAGATTTTAAAAATTGGAAGTAGTAATAATGTATAAAAAACACCATATAAATGAATATAAAAAATATAAAAAATAATATATAATAATAATATATAATAATAATATAAAAAAAAAAATATAAAAATATAAATTTGCTACCAAAATAGTTCGATCGTCAATATTATTTGGAAACCTACATAGACAAATAAATGAGTTTTATTCATTTCACTAATGTATTTGCATCCATGAGAAATATTAAATTAAAAAGGTACTAAACAGATCTTTTTTAATCAGATGATGTCTACTTACAATTTAAAAATGTCTACTAATTTCATGAACTTATATCTTATTCAATACATTATTGAACATGAATAAACCCAATGGTACGCCTATTAAAATGTAAACAAACACGCTTCCTCATTTCCTTATCTTAAATAATGTAAATTGTATGTACTTACAAATGAAATGAGAGATCGGAATGTAAATATTTCGTTTATTTTATTTCACTTTTCACAAATATCACTCAAAATACAGCCAAAATATCGAAAAATAACTTTTACTAAAATGTAAACAAACATGGAACAGCATTTGAAGTTTGACGTAGATCCATAAGACAGAGAAATGTAAACAACCGTTGCCATTTATAAATAGTTTTCAGTGCATCTACATATAAAATAATTGATTGATATCTATTATACGCTATTATTAAATGACAATGTACACTATGTGCACACTTTATATTTTGATTACAATTAAATATATTAATCTAACCTTCTCCTTCTTTTGGTGCCGTGTCCGTATTCAGACGTTGGCCGTCATCATGTTTACAATTTCCTGAAACCTTTCTCTGTCGGCTGCTGCGCGAAATAATTCTTCTACTGCGAAACCACACCATTGTCTAATATTACGCAGCCATGAAAGTTTCTTTCGACCAATCCATCTCTTTCCTTCCACTTTTCCTTGTATTATAAGGCGATTAATCTAACCAATAAATTAGTATTTTGGTTTTATAGCACCTGTAGAGTATAAAATAAGGAGTAATATTTTCAGCGACTCGCGAATAAGAAATTTTAAAACAAAACGGGACAACAGTTGAAGGTGCTGAGAATGTGACCTATTCAAATAATTTTGACTTCACAATTTTATGTAAATAACTGAGTCCATCTGTGTTTATACGTCCATGGTCTAAAGCATGAACATGCTTCACTATAGTCATGGAGTTATAATCTTACTCTTAGACAAGGAAAAAGAGAGGACAGGTAACGTTCATTTAATAAACCTTCGAAAAGTGAAGCCAGTTTCGATGTGACCGTATGTTTTAGTGCCCTTACGTTGCCCATTACTACCTCTCGCAGGGTTACCAGGTCTACTGATTTTTTAGTAGACCTACCGATTTCAACTTCAATTTACTGATTTACTGAAACACTATCGATCTACTAAAAAATATGTAATGAGAAAATCATGTTCAAAAAGTGATCATTATATCAATTACGCGTCCCTCTCTTTCCTTGTCATGTAACTCGATGGTTTTAATCTTTCTCGACAGCGTTGTCAGACTTATGAGCGTTGCCGGACTGATGTCGATTTTTCGAGAGCGTTGCCTAACGTATGCCGACCCCCGTATATTCTTGTGTCGTTTTTTTTAATCTTTAATTGTCTACTATGATAAGTTGCGTTACCAATAATTACAATCACCTATTGGAAGGAATATTTGATGGCAACTTAAATATACTTAAACAAATCTTCAAAAAATTAAACTGTATAAGGGGAATTTTGGGGTAGGTACACGAAATACACGTTAAACACTTGTTACTGTAAATTATATTGGGATTTAAAACGTTAAAATTGACAAAAAATAAAAGTCATAGCGCGGATATGTTTCTTCCTTGGCTTGCTCTTCCAACTGCCTTTCTCGGGGGGCTTCGTGTCGGCTCGATCAGTCGGCACAGCCACTGAGATTATAGTAAGGGAGATTAGTGGGTACATAGTACGAGGGATTACAGGTTAATACGTAGGTGGCTGTTATAACTGCAATTGTTTTTTGTAAGATAAGAGTCCTTAATATGATTTTCAAATAAAGAACGTTTATTTAGAATGTATTTATTTTCTATAGAATCTTTAACTTTTTTGGCATATTTCTTTTAAACGAATCGTCCCTCTGGTTTCTTCGTAAGAGGTGTTGGCGAATGCTCCCTTTTTATCGGAAAAGCACCCAACACTACCTCTTGGTTTTTCAGAACGTACTCCACCCTCTGTAAGATTGATGATGATTTAGTGCCATTTTCATTAAGAGTCCTGCCCAATATGTATACTGTCTATGATGTATTGGACTTTCAACCAATACACCATCTCTAATATGCCTATCGAGTATTCAGTATGAATAATATCAGACTTATATGTCTCAGAAATTTAGCTCCTTCCTGTCCAGTTTTGCCAGGTTTCGGTATACCAGCCCCTTATATGAGCCTCCATGCTTTTGGTATGTACAACGGTCCTTATCTAGTCTGTTGTATCATACACAATTTCTTATACATAAGGTTATTTCCCCTTTCTAGAAATATTGGATAAATCTCGTTCAGATCCGTTAATATATATGGTTCAAATAAGTCTAAGTCTTAACCGTTTCTTTTACCACACGTCAGTTTTCCCTAGAACCATAAATAACGTTTTTAAGTCCATTTTGCTGCCTTCTTTTGTTTTAGACTCAAGAATGTGTAAGCTAAAAACTTATTTCAGTGTCTCTACACTATTTTGGGTGTATTCACCTGACTAAATACTTTTGAAGCGAAGGAATACTTATCTGAAACGACAGTTTTTGTGCCGTTTGGGTGAGTGTGGTATAGTTCCAATCGAATCCAATTTTTTTACAAATTTTATACATTACCTACATTGTACAATGTTTCTCATTATATTTTGACCCCCACTTATTTTCCTTAATTTTGGGAATACAAAAAAAAGTTTTAAATAAAAGTTGTATTATTTTATCTGTACCGACCAGCAATGTAGCAACAGACCAAATTTTGTATACAGGGAGTACCCAATCAAATGCATCTTCAACATTTCAAATGGTGCACCCTGTATATTTTTTATAGTTTTGAGTAGCCCTACATTTCCTGATTACCAATATAATATAACATTGTGTAGCATTAGTTTTGTTCTATAATGGCATATGGTACTACAAGAGGGTAACCATAGGTGGCTATGCAACTGACATTTCAAAATGAAACAATTATTAATTTATTATAAACTGTCAGTCCTCATACCGAAACGGTTTATACTGCAGATGAAAAAGTAGATATATTCTCAATTTATGTAAAAAATATAATAAAAAGAAACAAGTGACAAGAAGAGAATATAGTCTGATTTATCCAGATTGACAGACTCCTTCTGCAAATACGTTTTTATAGAATTATCGTCATGTCATAAATTAATGAAAACATGTTTGGACGGAAGAAACGTACTATCGTAGGAAATGATGATGAAGATCTTAATACTTTGATTTACTTTGAAGATAAAAATTAAATACTTAAATAATAGATTAAATTCATAATAACATTTTTATTTTAGAAAATTCCTAAACTAGTCTAAATAATGCTACTAATGCATTAGAGAAAAGCCGTGCGACGATACATAAACTTTTAAAAAAGCACAACTAAGTACAAGCCGTACAAAATATTACCGGTACAAGAACTTACCGATATTCATAAGAGAAAGCGTTTACAGTTCTATCAAGACATGCTTACAAATTTCAACAATGATCCTAATTACTTTTATAACACTTTATGGATAGATGAATCAAATTTTTTAACTTCAGCCATTTTTAATAGAAGAAATAGGTATTCGTAGAAACAGAAATATAGTAGAAAAAGAAAAATTAAGCAAATAAAAAAGTCAATAAATTTGTGGTGCGGAATATTTCAAAACAAAATAGTTGAATCATTGTTTTATGATTATAAATTAACTGGGGAATTATATTTGGACACATTCATTACAGAAGTGGATGAGTTATTAAATCAAAATTATACACAAAATCAATTAATATCAATTAAATATGGCAACAAGATGGAGCACCGCCACATAACGTCGTAGCCGTGCAAGAACATTTAAATAATGAATTTAATGTGTGGATCGGCAATAAGGGTACCATTACAGGGCCACCAAATAGTCCCGACTTAACACCATGTGTTAGCTTTTTATGTAGGTTTTAAAAGAGAAAGTTTATTTTGATTCAAATACAAATATTAACACTATCACGGCAAAATTTAGCGCGGAAATTGAAAATTTAAATGGTCATAATAACACAATATCTGACGCATTAGAAAATTTGAGATGAAGATATTATTTGTGCATTAATAACAATGTAGGGCACTTTGAGCAGCTATTGTAATCTTAAATGTAGTACTGTATCTTAAATGTAGTATTGTAAGTCATTAATTTTGTTGACTTTCTAAAATTTTTTTTCTAATCTTAGTATAGTATAGTAGTAAAATACGCCATTATAAAACAAAACTACTGCTACACTGTATTATATATTTGTAATTATTATTTTTACATATGTTTACATTAATACTAAATTTTACTAACATTTTTGTAACTGTATTTTTATAGCATCTAAGACAAAATTCAATGTTTTTTAGGAAATGAGCCCATCGCCTTTATGTTCCCAGTAGTGGGATCCAACAACAAATTTATAGCAGGCCTTAGCAACAAATTTGTATCGGTTGAATGGGATGGTGTTAGTCCTCAAGTCTCAAAAGTCGAAATCATTAAAGAAATTGAAACTGATCCACAGTTAAAGGGTAACAGATTAAATGGTGGTAAGGTTGATCCTTGGGGGAGACTATGGGCAGGTGAGTTGTGATATTTTTTCACTCATTTTTAACTAATCATAATTTTTTTCTACAAATTCTGTGTAGCTAATAGATTGTATTAAGCTTTTACTTTTGTCCTATCATATTTTCTAGTAGATGACATTAAGTTCCTTCTTTCATTTTCAAACATCTTCCATGATACAGATTTTTGGGATACAAAAAATTGTTCTGACCAGAGAAAAGAAGTACTAGCTTCTTCTTTAAAAAGTCTGTCAGTAATATTTGGCGATTATAATCTTAATATACCATGTTAAACTGAGGTTTGTTGAATTTTGCGTCTGTTTTTCACTCTTATATTGCACACACTACCATAAATAGACATAGTATCAACCTTCCGTAAAAAAAAGTAGCCGAAAGGGTTTTTTAAAAACTCTCATAAAAAGTTCATGTCTTTATTTATCACTAAAGGACTTATCGTAGCAGTTTGCGGTTATCATAAAGTACAGACCTTTACATATATTGCTAGATACTTTGTCTCACATCAAATCTTACCAAACTCACTTTGGACCAATCGCTCTGCTTTTATGGCAGTCTCTTATTTTATCAGGCGAAGATAAGTGCAATACTTTCAATATGGCTGTCTATTTATTTCGTTTCAAAAAGGTCTTTAGATCAATTAGAAATTAATTTGTATACATATATAAATAAGTGTTTGATCGACCCCTATAACACAAATCATCGTTAAGTCAGCTTTTCTTCACTCCGCATCGCCAATTATCTTAGTTCCTACACCTATCCACAAATCTGTTAATGAGTATATTTAAGCTATTCCGTATCTTTCAGTTGGTGTAAGATCTTCGCCAGGTGGTAAGGCCTCTGTGGGATGACTTTATTGTGGGATGTGGCGCAGCTGTTCCTTCCACATTTCTAGTCTTGTCGTGCTTGGTTTGCTGTATAATAGATTCGATATATGTAGGAAACTCTATCTCGATTTTAGTTGCCTTCTTGGTGTGTCCGTATAGTGGATACGCCTCATTAATTTCCATCTTATTTTATTCGATGTTTGTCTTAAGCATCCCTTAATTATTCTGCAGATCTCGCTTAATGCTGTATCGTACCAATGAATGCGCTGCCAATCTCTCTAGTAATAGTTAGACAGATTAAACATTGCAGCCTGTTCAGCTGAGTTTGAATTTGTTACACTGGGCCTGCCTAGACGAAGAAGTATAAAAAATAGTAAGATTTTTTTTAATTTCTGCAATTTGAATGATGTGAAACCGGTTTTCGCCTCTTATAAAATATTAGTCCTAAATATTTCCGTTCTGAAGTATACTTCAAATCTTTGTTATCCACTAGAAACTATACTTGGTTCCGACAAGAACATATAGAATTTGTTCTTTTTTTTTTTAATTAGATCTATTGTGATAAAAGTACCATTTAAATTTAACAACAATCAAAAAATATATTCTACTCTTAAAGTCTAGTAATATTTGCTGTAATGCTTAGTTCAGGAGTTATGTTGTGGAATGCAATTTTATATTCCCCATGTCTTTAATTACATCTTTATCAACGTCTGTTTTGTCGTCAATTCTTAGAAGGCACAGATTAAAGCAGAAATCTGAATTTGGTTTCGACAATTAGTTGCCGGATTTAATATTGTTTTTAGGTACTATGGGCCCAGCTGGTGCTGATGGAGAAACTATACCCCAGAGGGGAGCCTTGTATAGTGTTGAAAAAGGATCAGTCAAAAAACATCTTTCCAATATCGGAATTTCAAATGGACTGGCTTGGAATACTAAGAAGATGAAGATGTATTACCTAGACACACTACAACCCAAAGTTTTTCAGTACGATATTACCAAGGACGGCGCGATAAGTAAATAATATTTTTTCTCTTCCTTTAACACAAATAGAATAAGTCTTATACAAGTACGGTCATTTTGGTATAAAATTTAACGAAACTAATTCTACTTTATAATATAGGTTTTTGTCCACATCTTCTTTGCACTTGCTTTTATTCCAAGATGGTATATTCAGAACAACACTGTCGCATGTTTTATATATCAGTATCTGTTTTACAATAGCATTGTATATCTTAAGTGATTTTGCTACCATTCTCGGATATTTCGGAGCCAGGATGTTCTTCGTCGGCCTGGGCCTCTTCTTCCGGCGATCTTACCCTGTATTATGAGGTGTAGAAGGTTATACTTCTCTGGATGTCTCGTTACATGACCGAAATACTGTAATTTTCGAATTGTTATCGTTTTTGTTATTTCTGTGCTCTTTTTCATTCGATGTAAAACTATTTCATTTCTTATTCGATCAACCCAACGTATCTGCAATACTCGATAAATTCACATTTCAAAGGCCTCTAATTTTTTCATAAATGTCTCTGTAAGGTCCAGGTCTCCGTACCATACAGCTATGTGGAGAATATGTAGCAGCGTATTAATCTGATTTTAAGATTTAACGTAATATCTGTATTAATTAGAATTTTCTTTAATTTATAGAAGGCGGCTCTGGCTTTTTCAATGCGTATTCTTATTTCTTTATTTATATGCCAGTTATCGTTAACGTTTGCACCCAAGTAGGTAATATTGTGGACTCTTTTTAACTCTATTCCATAGGCTCCGATATTCGTTGGTTGTAACTACGTTTTGCTGACAACCATAAGTTTTGTCTTAAAAGTATTAAGTTTTAGCCCATATTCATCACATGCTTCGGTTACCCTGTGTATAAGTCGTTGCAGGTCATCTTCATTGGAGGCAATAAGTACCGTGGCGTCTGCATATCTGAGATTGTTGACATTAATTACATTGATTTTAATGCCTGTATCTTCAATTAAGGCTTCTTTGAAAAAAAAATTCGAAGTAGATATTAAAAAGTAGAGGCGATAGAATACATCCTTGCCTCACTCCACGTCGTTTTTCCACTGCTTCCGTCGTGTTATGTGCAGCTCGTATGTTTGCATATTGATCAATAAGATCATAATTTCTTTTTTGGAAAATATTCGTGGGATCATTTTCAAGTTTACGATATATGGTTTCATCCTTAGATCATTCATTTTATTGTCGTAATCATTAGATTCCATAATAACGTTTTTGTTAGTTTTATATGTTTTTAGTACAACCACAAAGTGGAGACTTTAAGATACTTAGAAGCCTTTAAAATTTGAAGAGGTTCTACAAAATCAAAATTTAAGCAAAAATAAACTTTTAACAACAGAACAGATACGATAAATAATGATATATAAGAGATGCGAGAATGTTGTTCAGATTAATACAGAATATACCATCTTGAAATGAATATTAAGTACGATAACAATTACTTATTTCAGGTAACGAAAAAGTTATTTTTGAATTTGGGCCCCACAAAATCGGAGGTAAACCAGATGGGCTTACCATAGACACCGACGGAAACTTATGGATTACAGCAATATTTGGTTCAACTTTAGTCAAAATTAACCCGGATGATGGAAAACTTCTGGAAAAAATTGTTATGTCTACCCCACAAGTATGTACAATTTAATGTAAATAAAAAAAAGTGTTTCAATACATTTCGTGACATGAGGTGTACATTCTCCCTCTAATCTTCGTTGTTATGGATCTGTTGGTACTTAGTTTCGTACATTACCATTTTGCTGTCGCCTTTTCTGTGATCTTCTTCTTCCTTCTTGTATGTAGTCTTTAAGGCCTGTTTCTTCTTCAATATTAGCCTCCTAAATTGTTTAAATTATCGCACCATCTTTTTCATGGTCTGCAAATACTTCTTCGTTTATTTAGTGACCTATCTCATGCTATTCGTACTATCCTAGCCTCTGCCATTCTACTAATGTGTTCGTTTCACTCCTGTTTCCGTATTTACACCATTTATTTCTTCTATATTGTATGCTCTTCTCATGATTTCGCTTCTCTCCTTATCCAACAGATTTTTTCCTGATACTCGTTAAAGTATTTTCATCTCTGTTGTTTCTAGTAGTCGTCTCGTTTTATATGTGTCAGGTCTTGTCTCCGCCGTGTATGTTACTATAGGTCCAATTGCTGCTTTATAGATTCTTGTTTTTGTGTATTGTCTCAGGTGTTTGTTCTTTCAGATTGTGTTACTAAGCGATCCCGCTGCTTTACTTGCTTTATTGTCGTACTTCTTCCTAAACCTTGCTTCCTGATTTATTATTTTCATATAATCGTATATAGATGTCATACATTTGGTTTTTTCTGGTGACATTATCATACTGTATTTCTTAGCTGTTATATTGAAAATGTGTATTAATCTTTGGAGCTCATCTTCTCTCTCCGCCTCTGTCTTCTAATTAATGCGGCGTCGTCTGCATAACATAATGTTTGGATTCCTTTATTCCCCATTCGGATATCTAGAATCTGCTTTGAGTGGATTTTTCTATTAGTGACTATAAAATTAATCATAAATTTGTGCCCCTGGAGTTTTTAAATGTATATTTATACTGGAGCTTATGGTCGAAAAATGTATTATTAATTCTCAGTTCGTTAAAAGCATAGAGATTAGCCATGAGTTCTCCATTTGTGTTGACATGGTTTTCATTAAAACTTTGTTTTTCTTCTGGAACTATTTCATTTTGAATACGTGTATTAAAGTGACCCATAAGAATTAAGGGTTCTTCATGAGGTATTTCATCCAGCATGGTTTGCAATTGTTCTCTGCAGAATGCCTCTAGTTCCTCCATAGATTTGCAGTCCTCGGGGCTATAGATAGATAGACATTTAATTTTTAGTAGTCCATTGTGATGTTCATATATATTATTCTTTTCGGAGATACAACGGCATCACTTTCCTGTAATGACCTCTAATTTATTGGACTAAGTTTTAAGTATTTAACAATAAAACACTGAAAACTTTGTTTTCACAAACACTTTGGTTTCACTTGTTACATAAAATGAATTTCCATCAAGTAACGCTCGAATCCATCAATTATTTTAAGTATTTATTTTGGTGGATGCTCTTCCAAAGATGTATACTTCCTTCTTTAAACGTATGAAATTATCAGTATTGCCATTAACAGTATTCCAAAATCTTAAGCCCAAAAGTTTAGTTTTACCCGCAAAGTCCACATAAGCAAGTTTATTATATTCCAATGCTTTCTTAGCAATTTACCTGGTTACGAATTTAGATCTATTGTTGATCTTTTTAAAAGCCCTGTTGCTCTCCACTAATTATGTATTTTTATTTATCTTATTGATGAATCTCCTCGTTACCAATTTAAGAGTTGTGTTGAGCAGGATGATTGTAGGATAGTTGGTGAGAGTTTTAATGTTTGTTTTGTATTGGTATTATGGTATGGTATTATGTATTGGTATTGTAATGCTCGTCCACTACATATTACTAAATGAGCACCAACGGCTCGGTACATCAGAATAAATATTGGTCCAATAGGATCAACACGCTCTGTTAATGCAAAACTTGTTAGTCCCATTGGACCACCGTGGCTTGCTGAACTATATTAGTGATGAAATACATTCCTTAATTTATCTATATTATTATCTTTTATTTATTCCAGCCTACTTCAATTTCATTTGGCGGCAAGAATTTAAACGAAATGTTTGTTACCACTGCAAGAATTCCAGTTGATGGTAAGATTCCGCCTAATCCTGCAGGAACAACATATATCGTCAGAAACTCCGGTAGTTCTGGCTTCAAAGGGGATAGATACCAATCGTAAACTATGCCACTCTTTTATATAATATTTTACTTAATAAACTATTTGTGACGTATAGTACTTTTTTTATTATTAATTATTTCAGCATGAAGTATGCTTAATGTTAGATAGCGATAAAATATGTATTCGCTTTATCGTTGTTTGAAACTTTGGCAATAATCCGATATACTATGAAATAAATTCAAACATATGTACACAAATAAATGTTACCAAGATACAATAAAATTCTACGTCTTAGTGAGAGCGCCCACCAAACTGGCGTGACACGTGGCAAGTAGAACACGTCTAGCATGTTACTTAAAATGTAACCAATGAAAACGAATGATTTAACGCACACCAAAATGACAGTGACGTCATTAGATCTAATCATTCGTTGGCATTGGTTACATTTTATGTAACATGCTAAACGCTTGCTACTTGCCATGCCAGTTTGGTGGGCGCTCTCCCTAAGAATACACAAATGTAGACCAATAAGACTTGCAACATGGAATGTAAGAAGCTTGTACCAGCCAGGAAAATTTGACAATTTAATACAAGAAATGACCTGAAAGGAAATAAATATACTGGGCATAAGTGAAGTACAATGGTCAGACACCGGCAAACTTATAACCAAAAACGGCATGATGCATTATACTGGAAACAACGCTCCGGCTCATCGCTATGGAGTCGTAATCTTGTTACATACAGATACTAATAAATCAGTTACAAGCTTCACTCCTTAGAGAGAGTGATAATGGTTCAGCTGAAGACAAACATACAAGTTAAGTTAAATCAAATATACGCACCAACAGCGGATAAAAATGAACAGGAGATAGAACATTTTTACATGGAGTTAGACACAATTTTAAGATCTATTAAAAAAGAAGACGTTACAATAGTAATGGGGGACTTAAATGCTAAAGTCGGGAGAGGAAAAGTTGACGAATGTGTTGGTGAATTTGGACTAGGTGACAGAAACGAAAGAGGGGATAGACGTGGATTTTGAACATGAACACAATGTCCCAACTACTATAAAATTGATCCAACAAGTCAACTCAAATCTAACAGAAGTAGGAGAAGAAATCAGAAGATGTCAATGAAAAGTGGAGAAATATTCAGAATTCATTACTAAAGGCTGCAGAAGTTTTACTGAAAGGACAAATAAAAAGCAGAAGTGGATGACTTTAGAAATTCTAGCATTAATGGAAGAGAGGAAAAAAGTATAAGGGAGAAATGAGCCAAAATATCAAGAACTACAAAGTAGAATTAAAGTAGAGATAAAAAAGGCCAAGGAAAAGCGGTTAACAGATCAATGCATAGAAATAAAAAAGTATGACAGAAAATACGGCAGCTTTTGTAGTATGAGTAAATAATGAGTTAATAATGTAAATATGGGTCAATGCTGCACTGAAACAATGGACAATAAAATGCAAGTTCGACAAATTTAGACTTTTATTTGCAGACAATCATATCATTGCTGAAAATGAGAACGACGCAAACTACATCAAGGAAATTCAGTAAAAAACACTCAAAATGGGATCTGGGAATTAATGGTAAGAAACATGAGTACCTCACAAGAGGAAAAAATTATACAAAGGTTAGAAAACCCGATGCAGTTGGCATTAGAAAGAACACAATGTTGCCGATACTTCGGATTTCGGTTAGAGAACTTAATGAACCTTGGAAATACGTATGCCCAAAAAAAAACATAACGCCAAAACATTCAATATTTTGATTTCATTCTTCTTCATCGCGTGCCCTATCAGAATTATCTGACGTTGGCGATCACCATTGCAAAGGCTTCTTGATCTTCTGCAATATGAAATAATTGTCCCACATTTGATATCTAAGTCTATTCACGAATGTTCCTAAACCAAGAAACCCGTATCCTTCCTTTCCTACATCTCTACTTTGCCTTTAAGGATCAGTTGTAATATTTTATATCGACTTCCCCTTACTATATGTCCCAGATAAGAAATTTTTCGATGTTTAACAGTCTTTAGCAGTTCTCTATCTTTGTTGACGCTCATTAGTACTTCATTAGTTTTCCTTGCTTTAGTAAGGTATCTTCAGCATTCGTCTATGAACCCATATTTCCAATGCTTCAATTTTGTTCATGATCGATACTTTCTGCACTACACAAAAGTAGAGACTAACATAGCACTTAACCATTCTTTGTCTTAGTTCTAAACTAAGATGGCTATTACAAAGAAATGACTTCATTTTCATAAAATTAGTTTTAGTCATTGCTATTCTACGTTTTATTTCTGTCTGGATTTACTTTGTCCGTTATCACAGTTTTATTTCATACTGTATTCAATATTAAGTATTAAAAACGACTGTTTTATCATCTTTGGACGACAATCCTTTTGGCCTGCTCTAAAGAGGTAACAAGAAAGTCTTCAAATCAAACGAAGTAAAAGTTGGTCAAATCGTTTGTAAAAAGCATTGTAACATACGGAGCAAAAATGTGGTCATTATCAGAAGAGAATTAAAAAAAATGAACACGGTTAAATAAGGATTTTATCTTACTAGTTTGAAACTAAGGCCAACACTGATGAAAATTTTCTTAGCTTTATCTAACTTTCTCTTATCTCTAAGCAATTGCATTGCTTCATGTGAATTTACAGTTACTCAAAGAGATGTAATTTTTAAGTTTACCCACTCGTATCAGCCAGTTACAAAAATTTTCTCAACTACTTCCCCCAAGCAAGATTGGCCAGAATCAAATTAAGAAAAATTTAATAACATTACATTGTTAACTGTATGACAAAACTCGGCGGAAGTAAATATGCTCGGGTAGTTAAATATTTTTTCGGCTTCCAATGGTGCACATGCGCACTGTGTGACACTAGTTCAGCTCCTTTTTAGTTTTCACACAATTCTACTTCCGATTATTACCGTTTTTACCTGAACAAATATTGGATATCGATATCTACTACCATTGTGTATATCTACTTAATATTTAGCAATTTTTGGAAAATAAATAAGAAGTCATATTCATGTAATAAAAATATATTACAATAGGTCAACGTCAATACATATTTAAAATTTATTCATAAAAAAATTATTATCTACAACATACCTAACACATTGTAATAAAACATTTCGTTCATGTCTAATTTCATTTTGTAAAAGTTTTTCTAATAACGTAACTTTCCTTTTTCTGAAACCATACGGAAATTTATCTTTACTATGATTCACATAAGGTTTTGTACTTTTAAAATGGCCTTTGTTATTATGACTCTTATTTCTATTTGGCTGTCGTTTTCTTTTGCGTGTACAATTGGAAATTTCTATTTCGTTTTTATCTATCACAGTACATTCATTACTCTGTTTTTGATTTTTGACTTCAGTTGGAGGTTCTCCATCACTATCAGGGTATTTGCCTTCAACTTTTGGTTCTTGTTTATTAGCTGGTGTCACTTTAACAATTGTTGCTTCACTTTCAGATTCACTATCACTCATATATGCCCCCATTAGTGCACTCAGAGCACCATTTAGTTTCATTTCCATCGGTTTGGATGGCTCACTACTCCATTCTTCATCATCATAGTCGCTTAGGTCCTTTTCTTTTTCTTCTTCCATGGTAGAGGTACCTTTAAAGGGAAACATATTTCCATTCCAATCAGCTTTTTCGTCTATTAGAGATACAGTTTGCTTCTCTTTAACAAATGAACGCTTTTGTTTTTTCTTTTGAAGTTGCTTCTTGTTTTTTACAGCTTTGGTCACTAAAAAAGATATGGTGTAGTATATATACAATTATTATATGGGAAAAGAGTTCATACTCACAATCTTAGGTAGTTTTTATTTAATAAAGTTGGTGAATTTTGGGCTACCGGTTTCAAGGTTTACAATATTTGCCCCATCATAAGGCCCCAGTTCGTTATTTTTATATGTACTGGGGCCTGATGATAGGGCAAATGTTGTAAGCCTTGAAACCGGTAGCCCAAAATTCATAACTTTATTAAATAAAAACTACTTAAAATTTTGAGTTTTGTAATTATACAAACAACAGTTGTGACACAACTCCAAAATTTGTGACACAACTCCAAAATTCTCACTGATACAGTTTGAAAATCTCTAAACTTGTCTGCTATAGTGACACAACGCGAAAGTGCCGTTATTGCATAGAAACTTGATATCGACTTCCACTGCACAACTAAAAAGGGCCATTACTGCATGAAACAATTCATCTTAACCGACAACATGTCATAGCGACAGTTTGGTCGTCATGTCATAAATAAGGCTTTTTCAAGACCTCTGGTGATGTTAACTCAATTTTGTAAATTTTTGAGTTAAGCCACTATTGCATACAGCCGACGATATTTAGTCTTTTGTGGGATAAAATCACTAGCACTTAATAATACCCATCGTACAGAATGAATGTTCATAACCAAATGTCCTTATTTATTCATCAAACAATTAAAAATACCAATATTTCCAACTTCTTTTTGGACAAATATACACAAATAATCATACTATAATGATCACAATATTCAGTGTGAAACAAACAATTAAAAAAAGTTGGGTGATAATTGGAAATAAAGATGATGCAATGATAACATTTTCTTCTAGCCAAAGGAAACGTTAATATTAATCGAGGGGTGAAAATTTACAGAAATCAGTGCAATTCATGACAATAGAATTTAACTTACGGTCAAAAAAAAAACAGTCCTGTAAAATCTGTATATTTAAAAATCTATACTTACATCGATATTTATCTTTTCCAAATCGATTCTCGTTCTTTTTTATCCTTTCTCCCCTTTTCAACATGGCTTCCTGTTTTATCTGCCGTTTCATAATATTTTCTTTACTGGGATAATTCTTCTTCCTATCTTCCACCCACTTGGCTATATCTTCTGGAGTATTTATATTTCTAATTCTGTCATACAAACCGGTAGCATGTTGCATTAAAAACGTGTTTCTCCAAAATTTTTTCGTGAGCGGTAAATGTACAGCCGTCTAAATTACAAGTTTTGTGTTGTGACATATGCTTGTCATATTGATTTTGATTATAAAAATCTCTCTCGCAACTTTCACACGTAAAAAGAATTTCTTGCGTTTCTTGTTGATACCCATGATAGTAATTTTCTTCATAATATTGACTGTTTTCTTCATAGCTATAGTCTTCATATTCTGTGTATTCATCAGTTTCATTTAAATCCTCATTCTCTTCGTAAGTATTTTCAATGTACTCATCTTCAGGGTTATTACATTCGAAATTGCCTACCTAATAGAAACAAAGTGTTAAATTTTAGTGTAAATATATATGTGAATGTTTTTTATGGCGGTTAATTATATCAGTTCACAAAGTTTCCACTATAGGTACTTACAAACTATATTCTCTTCACACAAAGATTAATTTACTAAAAGAAGAATAATTTTTAAGAACAAAGAACTTTTTATATAGAACATTTGTCTTGAGACTTAAGATAATTCTATATGGACAACAGGAGCTTCATGAAAATATTTACAAGTGAGTTTGAGACTAAAAGCAAACGGTATTGATGGCAATAGCAACATAAACGTCATAACTTTTATGCTTGTATATTGTAGAATGTTACTGCTAACTAAAACATCCAAGAACCAATAGCTAAATTGAAATAATTTCATAGTATTGATCAGATCAACATTGTAGTTTTTGTTCGTTTATGGAAAACGAAAGCAGTAATTACCCAATGATGCATTAGAAATGTTATCGCTTTCCATTAATATTAAAAATGTATGACCAAGAATCTTTAGGTTTCTATATTTGAAATATTCTGTAACTTAAGATTATAGAAAAATTGTATAACTTGTGAAGTTGAAAAGCCTTCAATTTTGAGTTAAACGTTGAATTAGACATTCATGCCAAATGAATTATTTGAATCCTCTAGTGTTATTTGTTTTCCTTGTAGCTTATGATCCTATGAGCGTGTCTCACCAACGCTCAAAAGTTATTTAATTAACAAAATAATATGAATGAATTTTCAAAAAACAAATATTTTGATACAGTAGCATATTTTTAGAAAACACTAGAAAATACTGTTTTTTTTTGTAAAACTGAGTCACCAATAAAAACATTCACTTTGATCAAATAAAATACATCAAAAAAGAAAAGAAAACATAAAACAAAAGCAGACGAACGTGATGAAATCCAATTTGTAAAACTACTTTGAAAAAATGTCTTGAGTATCTGAATATAACAGAAGATTTAAGATATATGTAACTTACTCAAAATTCCTGAGAAACTGAGTTTCTCACTATGTTGGGTCTGAGGTGGAAATCTCTCCAATGATTGTATAAAGAACTCTTCACTTTATTATTGTTGATAAGTGTCTTCGTTGATAAAAATACTGACCGTTCTTAGAAAAAAAAATTAAAGAAGAGAAATGAAAATGTATAATCGAAATGTGTCAAAATTTTTTCTTCATCCTAGCTAAATCACCATTAAATCTTCTCACGTGAGAATAACTTTATATGTATACACTTACACTTCTATGTGTTCTTCTCAGACAAAAACTCAAGCACTTGATGAAGTATAAGAATTCATTCAATTCTCAGTGTCACAAAATAAATTCGCCTCCAAATGTACCAATCATTAACTTTGATGATCATCAACGTAGTCCCCCCACTATCAGTGTGAGATATGTTTTCGGATAAGAGTAAAATAGTTAAAAGTCCCAAACACGTATCAACACTGTTTTAAATATGTCAATCATATAAATTTCCATTTCTCTTCTTCACTGTTCTAAAAGGTATAAGCCAGTAATTAAAAAAATCAATTAATCTTGAATGTTTTATTTGGCTACATAACTCTAAAAACGGTCAGATCTAGTAGTTAAGTAGAAAACACCAAACAAATTGAGTCATCCAATAGAAATTAACTTGCTGTCATACAAGTTTAAGTTCATTTATCTTATGGGTGTGACTACTATAAAACTAGAAATAAATGAGGCTACTTACGTTTTCACAATTTTTCCTGAGCAGTTTGAAAAATTTAGTTACTGTAATTGTGTCTGCAGAACAATACCACAATACGTTTTCAGAAGAATGTTAACTTTTTCATCTACCACACATCAACTTTGTGATAATCACACAAAAATACAAAACGTATTTAAAAATAAAAATAACATTTTTGATGTCACAACCTTTCAAACAAAAATGTCATACATTTTAAAAAACTTTTACTACAAGAAATAAATTTTTTTATAATTGCCTAGAATATATTTCCTAAAAAAGGGAATAGCACTGAATAACCTATTTAATCAATCTAGCTGATATTGGATCCAAGTTGAATGTAATAGTTTTCTAACTTGTTATTTCTTAAACCATTTTCATAATTTAATTTGTGTTCATGAGGCCAGTTTTTTTTATCAGATCAACAAAAGATTCAATTTTCATTATAACATAGACTTTATTATGACCGAGAGAAGACAAGAAAGGGAAAAGTCAATGTAAGATGGTAACAAGAATGGAACAACACGAAAGATGTGACACAATGGACAAATATGCTGACCCTGAACCTAAGAGATTGGGTGGACTTTGGACACAGGTGTTCACAAGAAAAAAAGGCTCAGACTGATGAATGCCTATACCTAAGACACCTGGACACATACGATGTTGGAGTACAACAGATGGATAGTGGATGGAGCAGACTGGAAAAAGATTTTGTGACAGTTAGAGAAATTATTAAGAGAATGATTAAACATAAAGCAGACTGGACCAATGGCAAAGGTTAGAGGGAAATATGTTGTTAGTTAAGTCAGATTGTGGGAAGGAGGAAATGCCTGGCTGGACGGCTGGCTCCACGTTCTATCTGGAATGAGGTTCCTCTTAAAAAAAAGGAAACAAGGGAAAGAGAATCTCATTAATGCTAGTCTATGGATATATGAAGGGATAGTGCTTCGGAAGTATTGCTCAGCCTTCCATTACAGCTGCAATTCCACTCCCAGAGCGTTTGATGACATAGGATGGTCTGTTTTAACAGGTAGGCGTTTGGCATAGATTTGGCGACGAGAGGGTGTTTTAAAGTACCTCGGAAACTATCGCTGGAACTACGAAGAATGAATCCTGCACTAAAATCAGTCAGGCGGCGTTCTGGACTGAGATGTCTTTTAAATATTTCAGACACCCCTCTATAATGACGAAAAAGAAGTTTCTGAATGGTCAAACTGTCAAAATCAACATTACTTTTTTCTTCCCTTTAACTCCTTTAAAGAATAAAGAAAACACAAGGAATTTTAGAAGGACAAGTCATGTACCCCCCACCATTCAACTACTTATTCCTTATTAAACGTCAAGAGGTTTCTAGTCTGATACATTACAGTGTTAAACCATCAGCCCCATTTAGCATCAGCATGCAATTTCTATCTGTTTCTTATGGTATAATTTGTAGCAAAAGAAACAATATATTAGTCTGTTGAAGCTGTGAAAATGAAATCATCCTAAAGGAGCTGACAGAAGATTTCTAGCTTTCTTTCAAACAATTGGAGACATATAATGAGGTCAATATGAACTTCTCGATATCAAAATTAAATTATGAATAATACTGAATAAAATATTTCACGAGGATACAGTTTATTAAGATATAGAAGCATTAAACAACGATTCTTATTAACCCTTTAATCGGCAAAACCGTCTGCAGACGGTCTTTGCTCTAACCTAAGGATTTTTTCAATAACGGAAATAAACGGTACCAATTTTGTAGCTTTTCCAAAATTGAAATCCCCTCGTATATGTATTAAATTTAAATCGCTTCATATATAAATTAAAATAACGAAGATTGTTTTAGACGCGAATTCTACGATATTTTGCTTTGAGTTAAACCACTCGATATTTCTTTGTTCGAACTGCTTGATACTGCGTTTTCAAATTAACATTTTACGTTTCTGTTATCGCTGTGTTTTGTTTATGCCAACGACGCGTAATTCTTTATTAATAATATAAACATCCATTTAGATAGCTGAGAAGTTTTTTGCCGGTAAGAATTAGTCATTCTCGTTAGAATAAGTTTGGTAGCAGTTAATAGTATCAATTTAATGTGTATGCAGTCTAATTGTACCTGTTCCTGTTTTTTAAGAGGCAGAGTCCCAAGTTTTGTATTCAGTGCCGACTTCAACCTCAAATAGTTAGTCCTATCGCAGTGTGAGATGTAGTTTTTTGTTCCGTGATAGTTTCAGTAATAGTTCCAGAAAATTCAAAGTGTTTTGTGAAATCCAGGTAACTTTTTGTGTGTCAAATTTTAAAGTAAAGACAGACATTTTTTAAAGTAATAATTGCTTTCATAAAAATTGTAAATTTTAGGGTTTGACTTTAGATTTTGATTTGGTTTTTAGTTTCTTTTGTTTTTAAAAAAGGTTAACCTCCATGCAATATCAATTTTTTTTAATGTTTTTGTAGCAATTCCCCATTGTAAACAGATAGGACACAGTAAATTTTTTTGTATTCTTGTATTTTGTGACTATTAATATGTTTTTATACTGTCTATTTTGTAACTGTTTGTGGTAAGACACAATAAATGTTAAATTTTTTTCTTAACATTTTGTTGTTTTTAACTAACTTTTTTTTTGAGTTTCATGTATATGTTTTTCATTTTTAATAATCACTTCGATAGTTAAAACTAGCTGCTGTAATGGTTATAATTTGGCACCTCGAAGCGGAGACCTTTTTAAATTGCTAGAGGTGTTTCCCTCCGTTTTGTTTGTCCCAAGAGATTCATGATCCTTTGTTTCATTTTTCTGTAGTTGCCCCAATCCAAACCCCTTATCATTTACTTATCCACGACCTCAGCTCTCCAAACAAACCCTGAGTGCCGTTCGCCATGTATCGATTTGTTTTGCTTGTCCTATCTCGACCCCATAGTTTCTGTCCCCAATTTTCTACCCCTTATAGTCATACCCCATGTACAATTTGAACGCTGTAGCTTTAATTGATTGTGTCGAGATATGTGTATGATTCAGACGCTTTTTTTGTGTTACGGGCAACAACAATAAATTAAAAAAAGTACTTTCTAGTTGAGAAATAAACACGAAAATTTTTGTATATATATTTATTGATTTGCTACTGCGTGGAAGAAATAAGCAGTGGATTTAAAATGCCGCGGATATAGTGAAGGCCGTCTGCAGACGGTCTTGTCGCTTAGTTGCAAAATTTTTATACTCTTTTCTTATTATTACGCGTATGTTTGTTCTTTATTTTATCTACTAAACGTGAGATTATTTTTTTATGTAAAAAATGACGGGTAAATGT